ACGAGGTGACGAGGGGGGGGGAGAGGGATGGAAGGTGAAGTTCTTGAGGCGTCGAGGGCAGAGGAAGGTTGGAAAACAATGGAGGAGGAGAAGAGGTGGCTCGTGCGGGCAGAATTGGGGATGGTAGCTGGAGGGTGGTGGAAGAGGGTATGGTGGGTGAAGGAGAGGGAGGGGAGCTTGGAGCCAAGGAGGAAAGGTGTGGAGGTGGAGTCGTAGAGGATGATATGGGTGGAGATGACAATGGAGGGTCTCGAGGGTCGTCCGAAGGTGGCGAAGAGGGCTCCATGAAGATGACACCACGAGAAAGTATGACACGGTCCTGAGAGGGGATATAGATGCGGTGAGCTTTGGTGCCGTCAAGGTGTTCATTCTCAACCATGATTCCAGCCGTGCTTTGGTCGTCGAGCTTAGAACGTCGTTGTGAAAGAATGAGGACCGAAACGGGTAAATCGAGGATGCGGAGGTGTGATACGCCCGGGCGTGAACCGGTCCAAAGTTCCATGGGAGTCCTAGAAGTTGAGCAGCCCCGAATAATGGCATGATTTTGGAGGTAGGCAGCAGTGAGAGCGGCTTCACCCCACCAGCCTTTGTCCATGTGTGCGTCCTGAAGCATGGAACGGACCATCTCAAGTAAAGTCCGATTGGCGCGTTCATCAACTCCATTTTGCTCAGGTGTGTATGGCGTAGTGCGTTGTTGAGCGATGCCATGGGTATTAAAGTGAAGGCTTTGGAAGTGAACTCCAAGGCACCGTCGGAGCGAAACGCTTTGATGGTTCGTCTGGAATGCACGTTGTGCACCCGAGTGACGTAGTTTTCGAAGCATGAAAACGCCTCTGAACGATGGCGTAGGAGATACACTGTATTGTGGCGCGTGTAGTCGTCGATGAAGGTGAGAAGGTATCGAGTGCCTCCAATGGTAGTTCCATATGAAAACGGTCCAGCAAGATCCGAATGAACGAGTTGAAGTGGTGCTGTGGTGCGAGAATCGGACACGCCAAACGGCTGACGTGTTTGTTTCCCACGATAGCATGAAATGCATTGGGGAAACGAGGTGGAGGAGAGGCTAAGACTGGTGACCAGCTGCTGCCAATGAAGTGCAGACAGATCCCGCATGTTGAGATGGCCGAAAAGACGATGCCATCGGGTTGATGGAGGAAGGGGCACTGGGCACATGATGGAGCCGAAGATAAAACAGATTGTTGCGGGTAAAGCCTTTGCCAATAGGAGCATCATCTGTTTTGAGCTCAACACGTCCAGCAGCGTGGAAGGAAACGGCAATGCCGGCAGCCCCAAGTGCACGAACCGAGAGCAGAACGTTGTCCAGCTGGATGGTGGTGTCTGAGGTTTGTGAACGAAGAGTAGCTACCACCGTGCCGACTCTCAAGACCTTGTAAGTCTCTTTACCACAATGAATGATGAGGCCTGCCGATGCGTACGGAGTGCCATAGGGGAAGAGGATGAGGAGGAGAATGATGGTGAAAAGGAAGACAGCAGCGACGAGAGGAGTCCATGTGGGGAGGTGGTGGCTGGTGCTGAAAGCAATGTCAACATAGCGTGAATCAGGTACGGACTGTGAGGCTGATGGGGCAGGGGTTGGTGAGGAGGTTGGAGTGATTTCAGCAGCAGAGCTTGTTGACACATGCACCGAAGGCTGGATGACAGATTTCTCCCGTCGAGAGCTTTCTTCAAGCTCTTTCTTCTTCTTCAACTTGAAGCATTCGTCAATAGTGTGGCCTGTTTTCTTGTAGCAATGGCAAGTAGGGGACTGGCGGGAACCGGAGCGAAGAGGGTGTGAGGGCTGGGATTGGAGGTTGTATGCACCTTCCATGTTGCGGCTTGCACCAGATTGTGAGCGCTCCCAATCAGCATCGAGTAGGCGCGACTGTAGGTATTCAACCGTCATGGACTTGATGTCCCTCACAGTGCATATAGTTTCCGTAAAAGTCTTGAAGGAGTCCGGAAGATTGAAAATTGTCCGGAAGATTGAGAATGATGGAGATTACCACCACCCAGGATGGTAACTCGAAGCCGGCAGATTTGAGTTGGTGGGTAAGGTTTCCATCTCGATCGAAGTAGGAGCGAAGACTCGTTGTTGGGTCCATCCGTGTAGTGATGAGATCCCGGAGGAGAGCCACTTGTGCATGGTTAACCATGCAGTCAAACCGCACCATGATGCATCCCCACATATCCTTTGTCGTGTTGGCTTGAGCAAGTGTGAGCGAGAGCTGAGGATGGACGGCCGACATGAGCAGATAGTATGCATGCTCCTCTTTTTCTTCATCTGGCAGCAACGCAATGGAATGGGCTGTTCTAGGGGCTGCACCATTGTTGGCGTCAGTAGCATCTCCACTGCTGGTTGTGGAAGAGGAAATAGAAGGGCAGGCAACAACCTTGGGATCTCCAAGAAGGGAAATCAGCCCAAGGACATTGAAGATGTAGCAAATCGTTTTCTTCCATGGAATGAAATTCGAACCATCCGGTTCCAATATAGGAAGGGTGTGCCGACCGAGAGGCGTCTCAACTTGAGCCATCAAGTATGCAACGTTCACTAAGATAGAAGCCTAGCTCTGATAGCATGTAGAAAATGGATCGGTGAACTTAGGGCACAATAGAAAATATCCTTAGTAGGAAGATGGTACAAGTCTTAGAGACTAGAGCAAGCTCCGTATCCAAGGATGAGTTCTAGTGAAGTAGGAAGCCACATATATGTGGCTGAACTCTTGAGGCTAGCTGCAGCACCTCAAAGCTGAGGAAGGCTAGCCAACCTTGCCAAGCTAGCAAGTGAGGCCTCATGCTGCACATGTGGGCCAGGCTGGAACAACAGCCCACATGGCAGCATGTGTCACACCATAGAGGCCAGCAAGGTGAGCATAGGATGAGTGGACAGGTGGCAATGCCAACTGTGACCACACTTCACTGTGGGTGAGTGTGGTGGAGTATGGACATGTCATGGTGAGCATAATGATAATGGAAAGTGCAGCTGCTGAGAGTTGAACCCACGACCTCAAAGACCGTGAGAAACAACCCACTGGGACATACTTGCTGTACAACAAATTCCATTACCCCTGGGGAGCAGCACCCGTAGGTCTAAACCGCCATGGCAATAAACCCAACCCAGAGCGGCCGGTTACGGTACTTATATTCTTTCGCCCTTACTGCCACACGAGCTGCCCACCCCACACCCCGACTGGCTGACTCGTCTTGTGTGGAGATGGGGTCAGTCACTGATACATCAATGAGCCACACGGCTCCCGAGTCCGGAAGGCGGATGGCGAGGTCTGCCTTGAGGCCTTCCACAGGTGCTTATAATGTCGTTTCTTTTTGTACCGCGAAGCCTGATTCTGCCGCAATCCGCTCACTCACACTCGTCCCTTGGCGCGTGGTGAGTACCCTTCCCCGTTCTGCACCGAAGTAGGTGATTTGGTAGGCGCGGTTCGAGTATCTCCTTTATTTCGTTGCAGTCGCAAACGCACGGAACGAGTTGCGGCATACCGAAGCGGAAGGCAGCCGACAAGGTGAAGTGGTGGGCAGGGAGGCGGTGGGGTTTGGTGATGGGCAGGACATCAGCCAGTCCGCTGATCCATGCCCTATGAGGGACTGGAGTCGTTGTGTATGGCCGAGCATACGGTTCAGGGAGATCGCGTGTTGTAATTTTGTTAGTTCCCCCCCCTCCCGCACTTCTTGGAGGATCCCAATCACCTCTGAGGGCAGCGCATCTTCCGCCACCGCTAGCCGTAGTGGGAACGGGGAGCGGCTCGTGTCGTCCGTATTAATGGGAATGGAGTGTTGGCCCCGCCCTCGCTTGGGCGACGCCGACGTCCTGGTCGGATGTACGGGAGAAGCAGCCAACCGTACGCAGTGAGGGAGTTGCTCGACGGGCTTCGTCGAGCTGCAGGGGATCACTGTGGTTTTGCCGTCGACCAGGGGTGCTTGACGGCCTTCTTTGGCGGGGCAGGTCGACAAGGTGGTGGTCGACCTGCACAGAACTGTAGCGGGGCTGGAGCCGTCGACCAGGGCAGCTCGACGGCTGCAGCTGACCAAGCTGGTCGATGGGCGGGCCGTCGACCAGGAGGAGTAGTTCGACGGGAGGTCGACGGAGCAGTCCGTCGACCTGCGTAGGACATGTGAGCGGCAGTCGACGAGGGGAGCTCGGCGACAGCAGCTGACAGTTCTGGTCGATGGAAGGGTCCGTCGACCAGGGTGTTCCTCGACGCGAGCTGTGGTCAACGAGGGAGGCGTCGACCAGAGCACTGGGTGGTCGACCAGGTCGACCAGAGCACTGGGTGGTCGACCAGGTCGACCAGGTAACCTGCTCGACGATTTCTGTGGAGGCACACGAACGTCGTCGAGGTCGCGATGACGAAGGCGACTTCGGGCTGGTATCCCAAAGTCGATGTGGCTCGTCAGGCGCAGACCAGGGCCGACGGATGCACAACGGTGCAAGTCGGGCCAATTGTCTGCGCGCACATGCGGACATGCGCACTGCTGTCTTCTACGGGTGCAATGCTGGACAGCCACTCTGCTGCACCGTTGGCACGCCGTCGACCCGCTGCTTTGGCAGGTCGTCTTTCTGCAGTGCTGGCGCGGCTCCTCTACGCAATGTTGGCAGGCGGTCGACCATGCTGTACTGTCGGTCGACCAGGCTAGTTGCAGAGTTGCTAGGTGCATGATGTAGTCTTTTTCTTGTCATTGTCATTGCTATCTTTTTGTAATACAATCTTTGCCTAGTGGAAACTCTTGCCGATTTCTCCCGTAAATGTGCAAGTGCTAAGGAACTACGAAAAGCTACGATCACTCCTATAGTTCATGCCAACCCCCCGTAGTCTAGCTCACAACTATTGTAAAGTGACTCTCCGCAGTCCGCGGAGAAGAGAGGTGGCAGCTTGGTACTTGGGGTTGAGAAGGGGTGGATGACACGAAGAGGAGGTGGGTGGTGGCTGCTGTTGAGGCGAGGTAGCTCGCGAACCGCTCTGCAGCAGGGTTGGCAATGCCGAGTCCACCTAGGGTAGAGGGGAGGGAGGCTTGGCGCAGGTCCTTAGCTGCTCGGCGCGGTGGCGAGGCAGGGGGATGTCGGCAAAGGTAAGGAAAGTGTGGAAGTTCCCTTCCCCCCAGGACCCCCAGTCGGCGAAGGGTAGGGAGTCAGGTGGGGTGGTGCGGAGGAGGTAGGAGATGCGGCAGTTGATGCATCTCGTGAGAAGGAGCGGGCACAGCTGTGGTTCCAGCAGGGAGAGGAGTGGTGCCGGGTCCACGGCCTCTGCCATATTGGTGTGCTGGAAGGTGGCGCAGTCTACCGGCGGCCCCATTGGGCTGCCCAGGACCTTGAGGCCAGTGGACGGCCAGGGCACGCCTGAGGGCAGATGCTAGATCTGGGGTGTGCTGGGGGACCATGCCGCACACTTGGCGGCGTTGTGGCGGAGGCCGAGTGGGGCGAGGGCCACCCGACCCGACTCCCTACCCTTTGCCGACTGTGTAGGGAGCCGGGTCGGGCTCCGACTGGTGTGGCAACTCCGTACTGGATGGGGGCGAAGTGGCGGCGGGCGAAGGGTGCGGCGATGAGGAGGGCAGCCTTAGCGTTTACACGGTGGATCACCTCGCCCACCGCGATGGGTCGGGTTCCGCCCTCGGGTTTGGAGAAGGCGAATAGCCTGGAGGCGGTGAGTAGCCTCGCCGCCTCCTTGGATAGATTGACTACGAGGACCGTGTTGACCAGGGCCAGCAGGTGTTGTGCTACGTCTGGGTGGCGGATAGCTGCGTCCCTTACGTGTTCGAACGTCATGCCGCTAGGACCTGCTCGCACTCCGTTCTTGCATGCCGCGAGGATTTGCCGCAGGTCCCTTAGCGTTATTGCTGGCGCGTTGGGGATGGAGTGGTGGTCGAGCCATTGAGGGGGGTCTGTTGTGCTCAGGGGGTGGCGCAGGCGTAAAGCCTCGAAATTTTCAGGTGAGTTTGGGCTCACAGGTGCGCTTTCCAGTGCCTGGAGAGCCTTGGCCAAGCTTCCCTCTTTAACAATCCCGTCGCTCTCGCCAACTTCCCAGCGTCGTAAGGTGTGTGTTTGGGTGCTGGTGGGAGGTTGATCGCGTCGCAAGCAGCTGAGTATAGTTCGCCCCACCTCCTCTGGCGAAAGAGCAGCAGTCATGCAGAGATCGCAGCCCAGTCAGGTTTACGGGTTGAGCTTGCCCGGAGTGTCAGGCGTGGGAGGAAGAGGAGGAGGGTCCAGGCTTGGAGGGCGCCAGGGTCTCGGGCCAATCGCAGCAGGTGTGTCAGGAGACAGGTGGCGAAAGTGTCTCGGATGATTCTTGGGAAGTGGCGGGCGAGGGGGGGTTGGCGAGAGTCACGTAGGGTCCCAATGTCCCATGTGGCGATTTCTGCAAATTTTGCGGAATCCTCAACCAATTGCTTGGATGAGAAAAGGGGGGTTGGGGTTCTCTCAGGTCGGGCTACACTCCCTTCCCCTCCCCCCTCCTCTCGTCCCCACCTCTGCCGTATCACCCTAGACAGAAGAAGGAAGAACCAAAGGGCCCATTCCACTTATCCCTCACTTTCTCACCTCCCCCCACCCCGCTTCTCCCTATCACCGTGTCATGCAAAGCAGATGGAGCGGGTCTGGAAAGCACAAACGCTTTATAGATGTGCACATTGTAAATGTCTTCTTTACACATGTCTTTGAACTTCCAATTCTTCTAACCCCCCGCCCCGCTCTTCCCACTGCCCTATCATGCCAAGCAGAAGGGAGAAGTGGAACAGCAAAGAGCAAACGCTTTAGCAGGGCAGCAGGAAGGCTCGGAGCGGCCAAGCACGGAACAGCAGCCAGGTTCGGAAAAGCCAGGCTCAAAACAGCTAGGCTCGGAGCATCCAGGCTCGGAATAGATGCCAGGCTCGGAGTACCAGCAGCAGCAGGTGCAGTGGCAAATCCAGCAGCAGCTGCAGTGGTGTGTGAACGCGTCCGTGTCCAAAACAACAGTGGTTCGGCACGGGGTGTCGGTTCGAACCGTGTTTGTTGCTGCTGATATCTTGAGGAAGAGCAGGGTGGTTGGAGGGCGGAGAGATGGGGGGGAAGGAGGAGAAAGCGGAGAGGGGGGAGAAGGGGGAGATGGGGGAGGGGAAAAAGGAGGAGGGGGAGAAGGATTAGGAGGGAGTGGGGCAAGTGCATTGGATGTATGGGTGTCAGAAGCTGCATCAGCAGTAGCAACAATAGCATCTGTGGCAGAAACAAGAGGCTCAGCAGCAACAGCAGCAACAGCAGCATCAGAAGGAGAGTCAGCACGTTGGGAGGATTTGGAGCAGATGTTTGCCATCCAGAGCAACCAGGGCAATGAGATCAACGGGAGCAATGAGAGCGGAAGGAGCAATAGGACTAGTGTTGCTGACGTGGCGCTCAGGGAGCTGACGATGATGCAAGAGCAAATCAACGACACCGTCACAATCAACAAGCTCCTGATTGGTGTCGCTAGGTGCTGATTTCAATCATCTCACGGTTCAGCTTTCCTGTTGTCTCTCGGTTGCCTGACCCCTTTTTTGCATAACCTCAGAACCATGTAGCAGACCGGGTGGTGTGATGTCCGTGCACATGCAAATGTGCACGCCTTTCCCACCTGCCCATTCTCCTCCCTTATCGTCACCACTCATCCTCACTTAACCTCACTCACCCCCACTGACAGCCCCCTTCTTCCCTGCTCCTGATCCGCCTCGCAGGTGTTGATGCAATTCTTGATAAGCTTGTATGCTCTTATGCCGAATTGTCGGAACCCTAATCAACCCCACTCAATCCCACTCATCCCCGCTCATCCTCACTCATCCCCCTCTTCTCCCTGCATTTGATCCCTTCCTGCATGTGTTGTGGCGATTCTTGACAAGCTTGTGTGCTCCTCTTATGCTAGTGTCCTCTTAGCAGCGTCGATAAGATGGGGGGGCGCGACGGCATCTGACATGGGCATTTTCAACCACTCAACCCCTCTCAACCCCACTCATCCCCTAGGTTTGAATACTCAAATAGGAGTTGTGGCGATTCTTGACAAGCTTGTGTGCGCTTACGCTGATGTGGAGGTCGGCCGGACCAGGGAGTACTTAACCCCACTTAAACCCACACTCAACACCACTTGAACCCACACTCAAAGACACTCATCCCCCTCTTCTACCCCGTGTTTGATGACTCTCACAGGTGTTGTTGCAATTCTTGACAAGCTTGTGTGCATTTTCTCTTAGCCGCATCGACAAGACGTGGGGATGGGACGGTAGATAATATGGACATTTTCAACCATAGAGTGGGGTTCAATAAACCACACTCGTCACTCGTCATGTGGGTGTTTAACATGCCTAATTTGGACTGAGGGTGCTACTGTCGCAATGAAAAAACGAGCATGCCTAAATCATGTGGTGTTACATCTTGTTCAACCATAGGCTCTGGCTCAATAATCTATACAACGCATCGTCACCTAAATGAGGTTACTGCATACCTAGGTTTGACTGAAACTATTGCCACCACAAACATTGATGCCAAATCTCGGAACGAGTAGTACAAGAAGCGTGTGCGCAATATTGACATGACAGCATGTAAACATAAATGAAAACCTACACATATATAGTAAGGGAGGGACCCGACCCAACCCTAGCTAGGTGGGGACAGCATAGGTTGGGCACACCGTTGGGCACACCGTTGGGCACACCGTTGGGCACACCGAAGTCCAAAGGCAACACGAGATAGCCTCGAAAGTCGAGGTCTCTGGTTCGGGCTGAGCCTGCCATTCCGAAAGCCACAGTTGCCACCATCATCCGGCCCCTCTCCCACCTGCCCCTCTCTCCCATTGTCAGGCAGGACCAGCCTGCTTCGCCTTCTTCCTCACAGAACCAGCTGCTTCCCTCCTCCGCTCCCTCTTCAGCCCTTGTTATCCATTCCTTCACGAGCAGCACACTGTCTCCCAACCCACTCTCTGCCGTTTCTACAGCTGTACCACAACAAGCACCACCATCCGCCCTTTCTCCCCCCCTCCCTTCGCCCCCCTTGGCCGGGGCGTCCTGCTTCGCCTTCTTCCTGGTAGAAGCCGCCTAACTGCGCTCCCTCTTGAGCCCCTTCATCTTCATGAGCGACATCGACCCCACCTCCTGCTGCCCCAAGAGCCATCTCCCTCACTCCCCATGAACCACCACCTCACCACCACCCCCGACACGCATCCACACCACGTACGACCTGCGAAACACACCACTACATCGAACAGCTTTCAGATGTCTCAAACCTAGACGAACGACTACGCCTGAGCGGCACCAACAGCACCATCTGCCCCCTGTACCCACGTACCCTCGCCCCCCCTCCCTTCTCCCCCTTTGGCCGGGGCGACCTGCTTGGCCTTCTTCCGCGTAGCAGCCGCCTCCTTGTTCTCCCTCTAGAGCCCCTTCACCTTCATCAGCGGCATCGACCCCACCTCCTACTCCTCCACTCCATGAGTCACTGCCTCACCACCAACCCCTCACACCCCCACACCACGTGCAACCGGCCAAACGCACGACTACAAATCACAGCTGTCAGACGCCTCAAACCCAGACCTAGACAAACCACTACTCCTGAGCACCGCTAGCACCTCCATCTGCCCCCTTGCCCCCCCTCCCTTCTCCCCCCTTGGCCGGAGCGTCCTGCTTCGCCTTCTTTCTGATAGCAGCAGCCTCCCTGCGCTCCCTCTTGAGTCCCTTCATCTTCATGAGCGATATCGACCCCACCTCCTGCTGCCCCAAGAGCCACCACCAGGAAACCCACTACTCCTAAGCACTGCCAACACCACCATCTTCCCCGACTGCCCCCCTCCTTTCTCCCCCTTTGGCCGGAGCATCCTGCTTGGGCTTCTTTCTGGTAGCGGCCGCCTCCCTGCGCTCCCTCTTGAGCTCCTTCATCTTCATGAGCGACATCGACCCCACCTCCTGCTTTGGACTAGGAGCAATATGACACGCCGGAGCCAAGCGTGAAGGAGAGAGGCGCATCAGCAGTAGCCAAATTTGGGCTAGCAACTACACAAGCACCTACATTAGAAACACAAGCACCTACATTAGAAACATGCAAAGATCCTAAGCTATGTACACGCAAGCAAATAGATCCAGCAGCATTATAGTCAACAACATGCATGGCCGAATGAACATCATCCATGGACATATCAAACAAAAGGTAACCAGAACTCAGCAGAGCAGGCCTTGCGGGGCGACCGCTAAAGGCCCGAAACGCTCGCGAAAGAGGTTGTCAAGGCAGCTGAAGCAGCGCAATGCGGAGTGGTTGATACGCCTAAAAGTAGTGCCAGCACCAGGGCCAGTCAGGATCTGGTACTGGCAGTTCCCCAGCTGGCAGGGCCGCTGCTGACGCTCCCTGGACCACCAGGTCCCCACTGCTGTTGAGGTCCCCATTGCTTGAACTACTGATGTTGCTGCTGCCCTTATTGTTGCACCTGTTGCTGCTGCTATGGCTACTGCTGCTGTGGCTGCTGCTGTTGCTGCTGCTGTTGATGTGTCCCGGCCACACCCTCAGGGCCAGCACCCCCGGCCTTCGTACCAGCAGTGTCGTCCCCGCCTCCAGAGCCACCTCCTCTTGACGCACCAAAACCTCCACCACCTCCACTACCTCCACCACCTCCGCCACCCTTCCGTCCCTTCTTCCCTCCCTTGCCTGTTTCTGCCAACCAGTGGCAGAAACAGCTGCAGTCTCCTCAGTAGCAAGAGTCTACAGCAGCAAGAGAAGCAGTGAAGGTGGGAAGATGGGGCACAGCACACCCGTCAAAGAGAGAAGGATCTAATGCTGAGTCT